TACAGATTTTTGTTCAATAAAAATACGTCTTCTAACGCAAACTATCTTTACAGCCGGACTTTCCAAGCACAAGGCCTTGAATTTGGACTTATAAATGTCCGAGTAAAATATGCATTAGTGCGTGTGCAAATCTGTTACGAAAACTCTTCAAAAGAAATCCTAAAATCTCAGTTATTTATAACACGAACGCAGTATGACTTACTAACCCAAGATTCCGAAAGTACTCTGGGATTTTGCTGCCAGGGAAGCATGAAAAGGAAAAATGATCTACAGACGACAGCTGGCAACGATCATGTTGGAATTGGTCCACAGCACTGAGAATGACAAAGGAGAAGACTCTACAGTACACGATGCAATGCGCAGAAGAAAACTGGTAATTGGACTATCAGTCATTACTAGGGTACACTGTTATCAGAAAGCTGATATTATTGTATTTCCGTGATTTTAAGGAGGGACTTTATTAAATTTTAAAATTTCTCAGATCGGAGTGCGTCTTACAATCGGCGACCTTTTAAAATGGAGGATATACGGTAAATAAATACGCACATACTCAGATTCACTCATGACTATGGTACATGGAAGGAAATTCAACAATTTTAAATACTTAGTAACTTAAAGCCTGATAGACTGAGACTTGGTCATCATTTCTCGAGAAATTTCATGGCTACCCTCGGTTCTGCGGTCACAATCTTCGTGGAAATTCAAAACTCGCTAATAAATCAACTGCGTCGAACAATAAAGAACGTTATTCAAAATTAAATGTACGACATATCGACTTTACAAAAATGGATTACGAGTATAGTATTCGTATGGTGTTCATACATTAATAATCTCTGAGATTATTTCTTCAACAACAGAATCAGGAACAGACAAAGACGACTCTCACCAGGACTCTGACGATAGAGGCAGCAAGCATATTTGAAACGTCGGTCCATTTCCACTAGACTACAAGGCGCAACATCCCAGAAGACAATCATCTTCATACACGCCGCAGAGTTAACCTGAAATCTGACCAAACAGGCCAGATTTTGTGTATGTTTTAAAAAGTCGAAGTTCTAAACAAGTGCCGAGTAACTTGCACAAGATGTTGGTTGCCATTCACAAATTTGATGCAATTTGATACAAATAACATTTGAGTTATCAGACTCGTAACATTTATTTCTAGTTTATGAGTTGCCCTGTAGGTCTGAGGCTGTAGAAAAACATCAGGTTTTTGGCAAAATATGGAGAAATTTAAAGAGGGAATTGTTGCAAATTGTGTTCGTTCGCGTAGGAAAAGCTGTTATGGCGCTGCACTGTTTATGTCAAGGTTAGGTTTGGTTAGGTTAGGTTGGGTTAGGTTATGTTGGGTTAGGTTAGGTTGGGTTAGGTTAGATTGGGTTTGGTTAGGGGCATGTTGGGATTGTTGTTGCTTTTGGTGGTGGGGTGTTGAGATGATCAACAGTAAAAGAACGTGGCGTTATATCCACGTTGGCATGTGAGTGAGGAGAGATAAGTTTCCGGAGTTTCCCATAGAACCTGTGTCCCCTTCACTACTACTTCCCCCCCTGAAAAGAAAAACAAATACCTTTCCCTGTCAGGTCAACGTAGTGACATCGTCTTCACTTCTTATAAACGGCGAGGCTTCTAATGGCTTTTCCTAGGCAAAAAATCAAATAAATTGGATATTGGAAACATAATTCGTGACTTTTCCCTCATTACGTTAACCAGTATTCTGCCAAATAACAGATGCTTGCTACGCCGATGTGCTTATGGAACATCCTGTATATATATACTATACATGCTGAATTAGTTGAATGACACGCACGAGACAAAAAGCAATGAGATCATGGGTTAACATACTCTGAGTTGTAAACATAAATCCTGTGTGTGATGCGAATTGTAAACTCAATGCACCATCGGTTTAATCGAATGAAAAGAGAACAAACAATGGCTGCTAAGAAGAGTCAGCAGACTCGTACTATTTCAAGTTTTTAAATAGTCTGAACTTGAAAGTGAGTGTCATAATGAGTCATCCAAAGGCTAACAGCTCATTCTGTTTCTCAACCGGGTACATAAGAATTCCGCACGTTTCTCCAGCTAAAATTGTTCAGAAACTTGAAACAACTCCGGCAGATACACGGAGTTCAAATACCACTTCTGTGATTCCCAGTGACTTGGGTCTGAACTTGGAACTGAATGTCAAGATGAATGAACCCAAACTATGGACCGAACACCTGTTCACTAACAGCTACATAAAACTCTAACGACCGGGTTCGAATCTTGGCTGGCACAAGACATTTTTCTCTTAACTCCCACAACGGCTCTGAGGCCCAGTCATCCTCGTGTCCAACGAGGAAGATGACTGACTGGCTTCTGGGATGCAGCGCCGCGTAGTCTGGTAGACACTGACCGACGTCTGAGGTGCTTACTGACGTCACCGGGGCGATGATCGATAGCTCTGGCATCAGCAGTCAAACAAAGCAGCCTAAATGCGAGTGCCTAATATTTATCTCCAAGTGGCCATTAAATTTGTTATTCTGTGTGATATTCAAAACAGAGAACCATTTTGGAGAGTTCCTTCCAGTCAACACACCGACTTATTTCAGGGACCCCCACGTCACTAATAACGCAAATCTTTGTATCACCGGGTTGATTGCCTTTGGAGCTGGAGACTTGCCCGTTTCCACACAGAAATGAACAAAGAACGCTCTGGAAGTGCTGTAGGTACAGTCAACTCTACGTGTGAACGATCCTAATGTACAATCTCCGCTTCTCTCAAGTCAGACTGATCAGTAAGAATCGGTCCTGAAGATGAAGGCAGTATGTTTCTCCGAAACGTTGGTAACCAGCGACAAAATTACACGGCGTTACAACTAGAAATGTTTACGTTAGGTAACAGAAGACGAAATTAAAAAGTAAATTATGATTCTCCATGCACGTAACATATGAGATATGAGGTTCTCAAGGCTACGGTGTTTTCTGTCATTCTCCTTCTAGTAGGTTAAGCGCAGTGTCTGAAAGTGAAATGGAACAGAACAAGAAAGTTCTACAGTTTCTGTTCCCTTAGTAACACTAGCGCGATAAAGCACACAGAATACGCGAATGTGTTCAGAAAATAAAGTTACGTCTAAAATTCCGTACTCTTAATCACACATAGTGATTATAGTATCCATGACAACAAAAACTTTGTAGCTGATTGGTATATGTTTGAAGCCACGTGGCAATCAGTACCAGGGCAAAGTGTTATAAGGAGAAATTGAATTTGGTCTGATTTAAGTAAATGAAGCTTATCTGCGGTGGAAAGGCTATTTATTATTTAGTGTTCTGTCTGAGGACAGGTCCATATGAACAGGATCCTTCTATCCTTTTCTCGGACTGGGACCTGTTCATATACGTTCTTGGCAGATGATCCAGAAGTGGTTTGCCATTGCCTTCTTCTGTGTGTGAATGGAGTAATTGTTGGGATGCCACGGAGAAACCGGCGAAGCCCCCCGGAGGAAAACTCCGTGTTGCCTAGACCACGGCCTTGCCCGACACAAGTTATAAATTCGGGCACAGCCGGGAATCGAACCCGAGACCCCAGGATTACAAGGCCAGCGTTCTAACCTAGACCACCGTGGCGGTGTATAGTAAGGATAAGACGGACTAATTTTAAGTCAGAGCAGTGGAAGGTAGACAAAAAGAAACTATTAAACTGCATCTTAAATAGGTTGTGCTTGCGTGAGATGGATCCATCTGTCTAGAGGCAGCGTCCAGTGGCGGCTATTATGAACAAGGCAAACAAACCTTCCATTTCCATAAGAAGCAAAGTATTATTCATCATGTGACTGACTCACTATTCACTTTGGCCGTGTTCCATGTACTTGGTGCGCTTGAAACGTGCGGTGTCAGCGGTAACTAAACACGGCACAGTAAAAATAACACAACAGTCCTTAAATACAGAGTGTCCGGTGACATTTCGTCAACAAACCTTCAGGATCTAATTCCTGAGGCCAATCCCAGTCGGCGACGCTACACGAACTAGGGTCCAATTTTTAACAGTTACAAGAAACGAAGAGAAATTCAAGATGATACGAAGACATGAAACAGGATTACAGTTCCACTTACAACAGAATGGGGTACGTAATGGAGAATGTGGATTTGCCGCGGTAACCAGGAAAATGCCCAACACGGTACCGGACCTCACTCTGCTACGTTTTAATGTTATAATTCGTGGTCTAGCGGTTAGAACGCTGGCCTTGTAATCTTGGGGTCTCGGGTTCGATTCCCGGCTGTGCCCGAATTTATAACTTGTGTCGGGCAAG